ACTCGGGGTTAGAGTCCGAGCCACACTTTTACTGGCCATGGCCGGGGAAGATTAATGGTTAAGCCAGGTAGAAACATCGTAAGTATGGAAAGACGCAAGGGCTTGTTGCCACATAAATCAGGGGAATCATGCGTCCCAGTTGGCTCTTCCTGATTTGGCAGGATTGGGGTGCTGTATGGGGCTTAAGAATTTGGCTGTGATTACGTGGGAAAACGGGAGAAATCTCTTTGGGGCTATATGGGAAAAGTCTGCTGATTAGTTTGTGCAAAAATCTGCCAAATAAATCAATATGCAAGCATTTCCGGCAAGCTTGACTTTTGTCAGTAACATAATGGCAATTAGGGGGTCTCAGATCTGGGATCTTGGTAAAGCTGCTTTGTGACAATTTGCGTTGTGATTTCACCTACCTCAATGTCAGAAAATCACCCATCCTTTTTGCAAATATGGACCTCCAAACAGCACGGCTCATTTCAGCTATTCCAGTGTTCTCCAAACACTATTCAAATTCCTGTATTTGTATTCACATATCTTATGTCTCGTAACTAAAGAATGGCTGCATCTGAACTTTGGGATGAAACTAAGGTTATACATGACCTGTTGACCCCCAAAGGTCCGGTGGATCAGGAGAACGAGGAGCTGAGGATGATCATTAAGAAGATCTGGAAGCGTACAAAGGCCAAAACCTTGGATGAAGTCATCCCTCCACCAGAGGGTAAGACAGCCAAACTGTCATCTTGCTTCAATATTCACAGTTACACAGAGCAGTGCGAAGGGACGTCATTACATTAAACAACTGCTGCCTGGACGGAGAGATCTGACCAGGGTTAAACAAGCAACTGCCTTCAATGAGGACTTCAGACTGTATATTCCTGATTGTTGTTATATACTATATACAGTGAATTTAGAAAGTATTCACAACCACCAACTTTTTTCAACTTTTGTTATGCTACAGCCTTAAGCTGAAGTTGTTTACATTAATTTTTCCCTCATCACACTCACTACATCAGTGACAAAGTGAAAAAATGATTGTATACATTTCAGCAAATGTATTACAAATAATAAACTGAAATTTCATATTTATAATAATAAACTGAATAATATAGAATTATTATTAGGGGCCGAACATCATAGGTACTTAGGCACCTATTGTTTTTGTTAGTTTTCTTATTATTATTATTATTTTTCTGCCATGGAAGTGCCAGAAACATATGGTTGCTTTTTATGAAATTTGGCACGCTAATTTGGGAGGCTTTGGATACAAGCTGAACCAAATTGCTTGTACCTCCTACCCTTGCTCTAGCGCCACCATCAGGCCAATGTCCAACTTACCTTTGTGCGTGTAACGGTTGACCCCCTTGACCGATTTCAACAAATTAGGACTCCTGTGCTGTCATGAAACAACATCAGTTTTTTTCCAGTAGCTCACAGAGTGATCCCGATGACAGCCCTTCAAATCTAACCACATATTAATGACACTGATTTTAAATACAAGCCTTATAGTACGACAAAAAATAAACACAAGTCTAAAAGAAGTTTAACAAGTTTCAGTTAACCCTGATGTACTGAAGAATCTTATCAAGTGTAAAAAAAAAGCTAGACACCGTTGTGTACAATTTGCCTCCCTAGCCGAGTCCTCACTACTCACAACACATCTCCTAAACCTTCCAGGACAGCATGCAGCTAATATACATTTGGTTTGCATACATGCAATTAAAGAAAATAATGATTATCATTACTACGGCCGCTGGTCCTTATAAGGTAATAAATATTCATATTTCATATAGTGTTCCCATTATTTTATTTACCCCTGTATTTTTAAACAAAAGTTGGGTGCAGCTTCAGTATAGGCCATTGTCCACAGTATGCCTATCTCTGATGTGTGGTTCAGCATAGCACATTTTCCAGCCGATGTTACAGGTTCCAGGTTTTTTCCCCATCTGCTTCTCTTCCTTGAATCCCTCCTTCATCTTATTTCCTCTCGAAATTTTTCACTCATTTCCCTCTGCGCGTCTGTCTCCTGCCATAGAGGAGGAGGTGACTGTGGGTAAATTCTATGCCAGCTTCCTGATCCAGGACTACTTCAGGAAGTTCCGCAAGAGAAAGCTGGCCCTCAAGAAGAAAAACAAATCCTCTGCTCTACAGGTATGTGGATGTAACCGTAATGATACTTCAATGCCTTCCACTTGTTACGCAGAGCCTCCCACGGCTTGACGACCCCCCCTAACAGCCATCCGATTGGAAATACTTTTACACATTAGGACATTCCTTTAGTCTTTCCCCAGCTAAAGCTGCCACCACGTCCATTTCATTAAGTAAACTTAAAAAGAGACAGGTCGCCTCCCTTGACTAGTGTCGCCGATTTAAACTGGCCATTATATGTCCAGCTGGTTTGTGTTTTTTGTCTTCGCAAAATTTGACGGCGATGAAAGTTGTGAAAACAAAAACTCGCATCCAAGCCTGAGGAAAGTATTCCCATGCTACATTTTAGCTCTGTGCCCTGGCTTCTGAGCATGCGCGACATTCTTATATCGCTTCAACATTTTTCCGTCATATGAAGTCGAGTCAACCTCCCCCTTAATCCACCTCTACCGAGCGAATTAACTGAGCGCGTCACATTTCGTTCGACATCGCTTTCATTTGTTTTCCACCAGCCTTGTTGCAGTAACTTTCTGATATGCATTCAGTTCTAGCGAATTAAAATTGTAATGAAAAAAGGACTTGTCACACCGCCAGTCAAACGGCAAAATCTGTCAAACAAGTGTACTAACAGAGTGGCACTTGTAGCGAGGGATAATGGTATCCTAGTATCACTATGTCAAACGAAAGGTTATTTCAGAATGTCAAGTCCAGTAAGGTACCTAACCAGCAAGCATACTGTACTCTTTGGATAATGTTATTTAATTAAAAAAAAAAAAAATACAAGCAGCCTGACCAGTATATTCATGTCTCTGGTGGCCAAACTTGGTATATCTAGTTTAAAAACTGTAGGAGGAGATACGTCTGAAAGAACCTGGAGGGTTTCCAAGTACATGGTTTAGTGAGTAATCTGGATAAGTTAAGTCAGAGTAAGTGGTAAACCTCCTAAAAGAAGAGCCTTATGGCTTCATAATCCTTGCAAAACAAAACCATTGGGCTCTTCTTTTAGGAGGTAACTTACTCAAACCACCTTTTACCACCTTTAATCACCATTTAAAACACACACATTTTTTCCAACCAATTATGTACTCATTAAATATACTGTAGGGAAGACTATTTGCTCTCTCTTTCAGTTTTTTCACATCACTTTCGACAATGTGATTTCAGAAAACACCTTGTATTTCCCTCCATTTTCAGTAATGTTCAGTCTGCACAAAACACTGAAAACTGGGCTGCCTGAGCTGGACTCAAAACAGTCTTTTTGTTTTTTAATTAAACACTGTTTTATGTGTAAAAGAAAATAAAATGAAACTCACATTGAGGAAAGTTAGGATGTTTATGTATGTATTGTGCATGGAGAATTGTTTTTGAATTTGTGACCAACGTTCCCCGTCTTGCTTCCTGATCAGTCACTGAAACTGCACCTCACCTTCCTCTCCTGTCAGGCTGGCCTCCTCACTCTGCAGGACTTGGGGCCAGAGATGAGACTGGCTATGACCTGTGACCTGGAAGAAGAAGAGGAAGAGGATGTGGTGCTGGACATGGAGGAGGATGAGGACGAGACTTTTTACAAGGTCCAAGACAAGAGAGCATGGCCATGTGACACAACACACTCTTTTCACTCCACTGTGCTGTCGTGCCAGAGAAGCACACTTCACCTTCAGCGGCTACGGACAGAATTCACTTGTTCGCACTGACACAAATCACAATGAAATATAATGATTATAACAAAAACTCTTGACTATAACCCTCTCTCTCTCTTTTTTTTCGTAGAATGAAAATGATTTTGTAGGCAACCCTGAATACACCAGCCCTGATAAAATGGACCCTGGGAGTCCAGGCCCGCCGTGTACCCCAGTTCAACCTAGCATCCCTCCTCCACTCTCCCCTGTCCCGCCTCCAGAGCCCTCCCCAATAGAGAACCTGTCCAATGGGGGGGTGCCTCACACCTCCATAACGATAGAAAGCCTATCAAAAACACCCAACAGAGGTCGATTGATTGAAGAGCCTCCTCCAGAGCCAGTGATGGTAGAGGAAAAGAAATTTGATGACATTCCTCCTTCACTCGACAACGGAGTTGTGACCCAGCAACCAAAACCTGCCCCAAACAGGTATGGTACACCTGCACAGCCCTTGGCCATTTGTTCATTTTGAGGTTTAAAAACAACAATGCAAAAACCCCGTGCAATTAGTCATCGTGTGCTACTTTGACCAGCTTTAGTTTGGGATATCCCTCACCAAACTGTGCTCAGAAACTAGAAAACACTTGCAATGTAACATGTAAATGTGAATCATTTGATGAAGACAAATCCAGGTTTCTGTTTGTCATTTTTTCATGTTGAAATGTCTTTTTATTGAATCAGGCCTTTCCATCCACACATGGGCCTGTCCCATCTCTGCTTGCTATGTATGCTGCCTAGAAAGCTATATTGTTCTTAGAAGTGGTTGCAGCAGCCGCTACACTCTTTCGCTCTGTGGTCTGTGAGCTGCATGCCTTCTGCCTTCATGTGTGGGTGGGTCGTGGGTGCCTGGTTGGCCAGATGAGGTGCTCTTGCACCATAAAATGGAGGGAAAAGTGCCGTCTTGCAATGAAAGTTTGCAATGGGGTCTCTGTTGCGCAATCGGTCAGCAAGTTCGGCTGTTAACTGCCGAGGTAGGTAATCTCCATCGTTATTCCAGGAGTTCAGTCAACCGCAGGGGCTCCCAGTATTTAAGTTTGAATTCAAGATGAATAATGTGCGCTGTCCAGAGGCGTGACAAAACACTGGTTTCTCCTTACCACACCAACCATGAGCAGATGTCACGTACTGTGGGATGCCAGCAACGTGGGCAAGAGGAGCCACAGATCTGCAGAAAAAGAAAAACGGCACCACTGGTATTTGAACCCAGGATTACCAGTCTACTACACAGGCACTTTAACCAACTAAGCCACCCCACTTCCTTTCAGAGAAAAATTAAAACGAATTCATACATGAAAAAAATGATGAGCCAGGAAACAAGGCATTTTACCCAATCACGTTGGAGATGGATGAAGGATTGTCACTACTTGTTTAGAGATGTGACAAAATGCCTCATGTACCTACATGATTGGCTGGCCTTCTGCATGACTCAGGGTCTTTGCTCACTTAGCAGGTCACTGCAAAGCTAAAATCGAGAGGCACAGGCATTTGTGCCCAATGTAGTCTCTGTGGCGCAATCGGTTAGCGCGTTCGGCTGTTAACCGAAAGGTTGGTGGTTCGAGCCCACCCAGGGACGGCATGCTTTTTCTCTCCCTCCTCATTGGAGGAGTGTAGTAAAGTGTAGAGGTTGTGGGTGATCACGCATCCCTTGCCATCTTTTGCCAACCGTCTCCCCCTTGTCTGTCTTTCCCTCTCTCCTTCCACAGAGAAGATGTCAGTTTTGTGTACCCCTCTCCCCCTCCTCCTCATCGAGAGGAGGGGATGGAAGCGTTGGAAGAGAACTACTCTGTAGAGCAGGACTACTACAGCCGGGAAGAGGACACAGAGAGCACAGCTTCACGGGACAGGTAGTGAATGAGGGAAGGGAGGAGAAAGAGGAAAGGCTTCTCTTTTTTTCCCACAAGCCCCACAAATTGGCGGTACATCGCTTGACTGAGTTTCAGAGGCTCCACACAGAAATGAATTATGTCAAATCAAGTCATGGTTTAGTTCCATCTCTTGAAATCTGCCCATGTCCAATTATTGTCTAAAAGACTGAAATGAAGTATATACAATTCCTCATATTTTAACTGGAGAATTAGTTTCGGCAAGGTTTTTGCATTAGTTCTTTGTGGAGACATTAATTCTGTGTTTGTGCCATACATTATTTTTAAAAAACAAAACATTAAAAAATACCATATCCTCCTATTCTTCCCCACAGTATTACAATATGGCATTGAATTCACTACTCAAGTTCGACAACTCGATCACCCCCCTCTACCCCACAAACCCCCCGAACTCATATTGTCTACTCAATCTTACCTTGCATCTGTATTTCTGATTGGTCCTTTCAGGCCTTGGTACCCAGAGGCCCCACCCATATATCCTGGACACCGTGAGCATATGTACGATACCCATCTGACCAACCAAATGCCATACAGTAATAACTATTCAAATGGATACACCAGCCCTCAACGTCCCCCTCCTCGAAGACGTCTACTTCCCGCCACTCCCACTGGTAAAATCTTTATTTCCTTTTCAGTCATCTGTAATCTCCCATGGTTATGAAAAAAATCAGCACAGGCTGTGATGTATTGTTTTGCTGTTGCATTGTTTCCCAAACTCTAAGTGATTACATTTGTTTAATGTTGTTCACAGTTTGGCATGCAGTTTAGCAAATCTTCTTTCCTGCTCCCCTTTTCAGGTCAAAAGCCTGTCTTTAACCTGCAGTGTTTGAGGCCACAGGGCAGCAATGAGGACATCCCTATCCCGGGTACCTACCACCAGAATGCCCCACCCAGCAGGCTACGCACACAGGTAACCCAGACGCGTGCAGGCGGAGGTAGCCATTAGCAATGAGCGTCACACATTGTTTCTGTAACAATGCCGTTCTTTTTTGATTGATTTTGTTGTTACATGCCCAAGGTGATGGTTGGAATTTTTGGTTGAATTATTTTATATTTTTTATGTATAAGTGATGCATGGTCTTTCACAAATAAATTTTAAATATAATTATATAATATGTTAATATTACATTGTTAATAATATTGTTATAATGTTAACTGGCAGATACGTTTCAAATCAAAAAGCAGAGATTGAAATGCAGATTTTGAGACTGTCTTTGAGGCTGAGTTGATGTATTGAAATGATATGTAAAACAGTAAAACAGTACAGTACAAACTGTAAAATGTACTGCATGACAGTCATATGATGTGATGACATCATCTTGATGAAACAACACAAAAATTATTTTCATTTAACATTATTAAAAAATCCCCCTCTTCCTCCAGACCTATGCCAGCAGCGACTCCCACCGTGGCAGTGTGACTTCCATGGCCTCCTCCTCATCCTGGGCCAACTCTAACTCCAACCCCCGACGGGGGCGCCTCCTCTACGCCCCGCTCATCCTGGTGGAGGAGGAGGGCCAGACAGGGGGCCTAGGCCCATGGGTGGATGGCACGGGCAGCGCCAGCCTCCCTGCGTCGGCGCGCCAGGACTGGTATGAGGGAGGCCAGGGCAGCGCAGGGAACGGCAAGTCCCAAAACCGGGCCTACACCAGCCTAAGGGTTCCCTCCCAGCTCACGCACCAGTACACCGACAAAGGCAGTGCCGACAGCCTGGTAGAGTCGGTGAGTACGGCATTAGCTGTTCCCAATGCTTTATGTTAGCACGGTTAATCTCTTCTTTGCTCTCTTTGAAACTCAATGTAAATAGCAGCATTCAGCCCAAAAGTGGTTGGGTGTATTGAGTGGGTGATGTTGGTTAAAACTTAACAGGTAGGATTGTAACCATAAATACATTGGGGTGGAGCTGCATACACTTTTCAGTCATTGCTACTTTATGGGTCTCCCCCAGGTGCTGATCTCTGAGGGGCTGGGCCTTTACGCCAAGGACCCCAAGTTCGTGGCCTTCGCCAAGCGTGAGATTGCTGACGCCTGTCACATGACAATTGATGAGATGGAGAGCGCAGCCAACGACCTTCTGAAAACGGGGGTTGGGGTTGGCAGCCGTTTCCAGGTACACCCAGACCTGGGGCCCTTGTACAGCGATGAAGAGTCCATCAGGGGTCGGGTTGAAGAGGAGCTGGCTGATGAGATTACCTGTGTCAGCACGTTCTGAAGAAGGGAAGGCCACATGGACGCACAGGAGCTATACAACAAGGCATCTAACACTCCTCACTCAGAGCAACATAGGCATGTACCACTACGCACTGCGGGGAGGGCGGAGGGCCTCTCAGAGGGCTTTACCACTCCACAGTGAGAGAAGGGGGGCTACAATGGAGGGAGTACTATGTGAACTTATGATGAAAGGATAGATGAAGAAGGAAAGGAAGCATAAATCTGGGTGAAGAGTGGTGTCCCAGTGTTCTTAAAAATGTTAACATGAGGCTAATCCACTGTTTTGATGTCATTCACTCTCCATGGCTCATAATAATGCCAGAGATTTGTGTGTTATTGCTAACAAAATTGGCGAGCCTACTCCTCTTACCAGATGTTATCGGTGACTGATACTGACTACTCGTCTGCCACATGTATATGTGTATACTCAGGGCGTCAGAAAATTCCTGACCTCTCATAATCAGTCGTTCCCTAATACAGCAATACAAATGCCACTCTTGTCCCTTCTCATGCTTCCCAATAAGCAAACATCCCAGCACACTATTTGTTAATGAATGCAATTAATCGTCCAACTGCAAGAATTGAAGTTTGTGAATAGTTGACTTTGACGTAACACTTTATAACTTCAGGCCCTTTCAACCACATTGTCATTGTTAGCACATTGTCAGTGAGACAGTGCAAGTGTGTTTATGGTGTTTCCAAATTCATTTTTACTGGGTTCACAGGTGGGATCTTTGGAGTGTAACTGACGTATAGCTGTTAAAGAGTGTGAATTACCTGTAGGTGTGCAGGGAGCATAAATGCACAGAGCACGTGAACAAAGAATATTCCATTCCAAACTTTTATTTCCATTCAACTAACAGTATTTGATGGATGTTTTTGTTTTTGTATGTGGCTGTGGTATAATCAGGAGATTATATGATGTTACCTTGCAAACTTAAATATTAAAGTTTTGGATTTCAAACATTGTAAGTGGAAACATTGCTAAATTAATCATGTAGAATATGTGTAGACTCTAAAGTGCAATTTAGTTACTTCAAAATACAGCACCTTCTTCATTTGGGTTTTCCATTATTTTGTCTACCTGCTCCATCATATAATTTAATGGAATCTAGCATGTGTTTCACAGCTGAACAAAAACATTAAAGCTTTAAAACAATGGCAGTGCACAAATCCAAAACACTGCCGGCCAAGTAGCTTATATCACAGCCACAAATTACACATCCTGATTGTGAGCAGTTCTTTATGGTGTTTTATTAAATTTCTCATTTTAGTAGCACTCCACACTGATCTGCTGTGCATGGTTTCATAGTGTATTTTTCATACTACCCTTCTGTTTTGCTTTTAAACCATTTCCTCTTTCTTTGCTGTTCGCTGCCTGCATTTTCTTACACCACACATGGCATTCTTTCTGATCTCCTCTGCTGCAACCTGCATATAGCTATGTATACAATATGATTTCTCAAGAACCATCTGTAGGGTTTGAAACCACATCTCTAAACTGGAAATCCTTGTATGCTTAATGTGCATGTGTACTCAACATTACTTTCAGCAAAAGGTTTAGAAGATCCTACGTATCTCCCTAGTTTTTGTCCTAAGAAATACTACTGCAACAATTATCTGTAACGCGAGAGTATTTCAGAACCTTTGATTCTATTGTTGGAATTATTATTCTTATTTTGAGTAGCAATATGATAGTAACTAATCATATGTCCCAACTTTTCATTTCCTTCGAAAAAATTATGATAACTATATTTTGTATGTATATCGGATTACTATGCTATGTGCACAAAACTGTATTTTGAGCTCTGTTGAATAAAATGATTTTCATGGAGATTTTCCTTCTTTGTGTTCTTTCATGTCTTTTTTGCAGCTGTCCATTTTGGAACTCATCTTACAGCACTGTACAATCACAGGGAAAATTAATGCAATTTTGAGAAAATTGAGAATATAAGAATAATCGTAACGTAAGAATACACAATGAAGAGGTGCCTAGACAGGCGTATCATTCTCCTGTGCAGTGCAGAGCTCATCCAGCACTGTGCCAAGCCATCAAAGTCAATAAAAGTTTGTTGGCAAAAAATTTGATCGTTTACCTGTGCGCAGGTAAGGATCAACGTCAGATATGTGAATTATAAACCTTGAACTTGATATGTAAGCTG